AATCATATGTACAATATACTTATTGTGTACATATTTATTTTAAAATATAATTTCTGTAATTACATGTGTAATTAATTACTGTAAATACATCTGTAATTACACACGTTTGACCCTACCCCTACATCATGAACACAATAGGTACATTGTAACTTTTCTTTTTATTTGTTTTTGTGTTACTATATATTTATTTATTTTTGAGTAAGGGCATATTAGTTAAAGAATTATATTATTTACTATTCTATTTAAAAGTATGCTAAAATGCATGCTATAGAGTCATTATCATATACTCTTTCTGTATGGTCAGTTACAGTTTGAAAAGAATCCTGCTTGCAAGTTAGTTAAAATGACTTATTCGATTGACCTTATTATAGCTGAATAATATAAATATTTGGAGAAAACTCTTACTTCATTGAGTACCGAGGTTTATTACCACTTGTTTCTGGTCTTAATGTACATATTTGACATTTTACAATCTTGCAATGTTTGTATCTTTCGTAAAAGACAGAACAGAAAGATTGATTAGCGTAAAAGATTTATGGAAGTGAAATGTACAGTACAAGGATTCATGGCATGGTTCATTATTTCAGTGGTGTTTCAGAAAAGAGTCATTATACATGACGAATTGTGTTTCAGCAGTGGATAACATTCTGCAAAAGTCTTAATCATTGCTTTGTGAATGTTATGAGTTATACAAGTAGAATGCAGCTCTGAGAAACTACAAAATATACTGTACCACAGCCTTTGTTACACAATACAGATAAATGGACAAAGTGATAAAACCAATCTTTTTTGAGACAATGGTATATGGAACAATCAAAATAGCTACTTCAGTGGTTCTGAATCAAAAAAGCATGTCACCAGGACTCTATGGTATTGTTTGTTTTGTTGTCTGATCACTTGGAACAGCATAATTCTCCTGAACAAGTCCAAAGATTTGAGATATAATTCATGTCTTTAGCAGTATGAGTTACATGTCAAAGTTTGTTCAGATCCCAAACCGTAAGTATGAGCAACCATGGTATGAGCAGACTAATTAAAGTCGGTCTAGTAGAACAGAAGTAAAGAGCATTGAGACAGAGCAGTCTCAATACAGTCTCATAGAGTCTACTGAACTTCAGACTGTTTATACCTTTTGTTCAGTCATTGCGTCTGGTTCCTCTGTGCGGGAACGTGCTGATCTATGTCTCCCTTTGCTCCGGGACTCACGTCCTGGTGAACTTTCTTTCCTGTCCCGGATGCGGTGAGGACTCCTTCCATATTCTCCTCTTCTGTGAGGAGCTTGAATAATCTTCAGGTTGCTGGTGTAGATAATAATCTTTCCAAAATCTAATACTGGTGCCTGTATGAAAAAACATAGAATCACTATTATACAGAATCGCAATATATACGTAGTCTTTGATATGGTACTCCAAGGCATTTTAATGACATGATACTTGAATACGGTAGTCATTCAGTACCAAAGTGCAATGATATTCTCACAGTACTATGTACCCCACAGTACTTTTTCATAGAATATAGTTCATGCATTCTCATACGGTTCATAGATTCATGGCGTTTGTTGTTATGTAATTACATATACTGTATATAATACTAATGAACTATGTCATTATTTTGTGTATCTGCTTTTAAAAACACAATTTTTTGTTGCAATATACTGGTATTAACAATCATTGTAATATATTA